GACGGGACGAGAATTGCTGGGAGCCTGGATATCTCACACTGAGGCTATAGACAGATCTCTTGATATAATCCCACTCTTACTATGATTCACGCGGCCAGTTCCCAGACAAGGACGCCTACGGTCTCTAAACACTGTGAATTCAGCTTCTTAACTTCTTTAGAAATTAATTTCTGCTCTCGGTATACATATATACACCGCGTACTATACACATGCTGCCAACGGACAGAGAGACCTGGACCGTTGGTGTGATAAGTTACAACACTAATATACACTGCAAATTAGACAACGCAAATCCGGCTCGGCCACAGAAGACTGGTCGCCTATCGGTGAGTTCTCAGCCCCCAGAATGAATCCGAAAGCTCGGGGTACGGCATGATCTTCTTAACAACAAGAACCTGATACTCACATAGTTGACCCCGACCCACAAAATAATTGCGATTTATAGTAATTGCGTTTTTTGTTGTCGAAATGCTAACTTCCTCCTTACCATGAAAAGGAGAAATAACCACGAAGATATAACAATAAGTCCTAACAAGCTGCACCTGTGAATTTTCTTCACGCTAAGGCAACGAAATCCGATAAAAGATTGGCATTACATCTTATGCTGAAATGTTTCAAGTGGTACAACCATACTTGCGTGAAAATTCTCTCAGAGGGATTCAGAAGGCTAGCTGATGAGCAAGTTTTAGTTCCGTCGTGCAAAAGCGGTCTCAAGATTAAATCGAATTAAACCACACGGTCATAAGCAAATCGAGCGCATATAACCATCAGAAAAAGTGACGAAAAAATACCTCGGCTCCAAGGTAGTCATTCAACATTCGGATAACCGAAGCGCCTTTTTGGTAGGAGACAGCGTCAAATATCTCCTCCACTTCATGTGGGCTGTTGACTTCGACCTGCGAAAAGGGAGAGACATAAAAACAACATTAGTGCGACTTCCTAGGACCCCAAATGAGCAGACTAAACTTCAATTGAAGGGACAGCGGTCTGAGACCACGATAGTTGTTCGCCAGGCAAGTTATCGACCGCCGCATCGTCGAAATCGACGGTCGAACTGTCGGTTCGCCCGTCGTAGTCTTTGACTATCATCTGTGTGACAGAGCACAAGGGAAAGATTACGA